GAAGATCCACATGCGGACATGCCTGTGGACGATGAGGATATGCCAGCACAGTGCCAACAGCCCGAACCGGATCTTGACGATGATCCCATCGAGCTGGGTTCCGGTGGTAATCCTCCTCCTGCTCCTCCCGGAGGCGGCGCATTTGTGCCGGTACCGGAGGATGACAGTGAGGACCTGGATATGCCTTACGATNNTACGATCCGGGAAACGATGACGGAGGTCATGGGGTGTAGCGAGCATTTCTGGATTGTGCTGCCACACAAAGACCTTCCAGATTTGCTGTGATATGAAGAACGGACGCCTTCTTCACGTACCTGCTGAAATGGCCGCGCAAATTGTGCCCTTCAAGCTGTTGTTTTACGGTGGCCTCAAAAGTGATTGCGTGTATGCCAAGCAGAGATGTGATTGAAGAAAATGATGTAACGAACTGGCACAAAGAGCATCCATCTAAGTAAGGATGACTGGTCTGCAAGCGTGTCTCTGTGTGTGTGCCTTTGTGTGTGGATGTGTGTGTTTGTGGGTTTGCACGTGTGTGTGTCTGTGTACGTTTCTGTACGTGCGCGCGGGTGTGTGTGTGTGTGCGCGCGAAAGCGTGAGTGTCTATTTTTTGTTGTGTGCGTTCGTCGTTGTTTTCTTCGTTTTTTTGGGTGTTTCTGTTTCTTTGTTTGTTTTGGCGTGCATTCGTTGGTGGGTTGTTTCGCTGCTGGTTTGCTGCTTGTAATATGTTCCAAATTTAATTTTTGTTCGTTCGTTTGTTTGTGTTTTGCATTCGATTTTTGTTGATGCACTTCCTTTTTTTTGATGCCCCGCCCCCGCGGGTAGCAACCAGTCAAGTGCTGCCAAGCATTAGCGGATCCCGGACCGTGCCCGCAGCATGCTTTTCCGCAAGTACTGGTGGATCCCGGAGCACGGCCGAAATGCTGTCCCAGGACTCGTGTTGAGCCTTACAATCGCGGTGTTCTGTATTTCGTGCTTTACATGGAGGTCTTGCTTGCGGTTCTTGTGCGGTAACAGTCTATTGCCCTGCTTGCAAGTCCTGCCAAAAAGCAAATGCCTCAATATTTTATCGGAAAGATCTCCCAGGTTTGAAGCAGCACGCTGAAATGAACCCCAGGCCGAAGCAGAACGCTTAACTGACGCAGGACGGTGTTTGAAGCAGCATGGCACTGGCCACTTATGAATATTGTTCTCATCGAGCCGCGAACCGATGGGACACCGGCACTTGTGGTCATGTACAGTCAATACACGAACGAGTTGTTTCATGTTTCGCCAGCAAGTATGGGAAATATCTAGCAGCGAATCTAGCAGCTTTCAGCTTTCATATTCTTGTTACGAGCATTCAACAGATGCTCTGCAATTTGGAGATGCTGCAGCTTCCATGTTTCCGATTGGGGCATCAGCGGAGGTTTCATGCCATGTTGTACCGGATGCATGACAGAGACAAGCTTTCCAGATTCTTAATCAAGGTGGACCAACTAGGTACAGTCAACCTTTTATGTGGACCCTTTTCCAGTCCATGTATCGACGGTGAGAGACAGTGCAGGTCTGTAGCTTTTCTTGACATGTAAACGGTTGCAGCTTTTGAAGTGCTGGCGAGTAGAGATGCTCGTTGTTTCTAATTCAGAGATAAAGCAGCCTCTCTGGGTTCTGCGGGCTAGCTTGCAGATTCTGTGTGCAATTGGATAAAAAGCAGGGGGAGATACGATGTGGACCGACAACAGAGATGAAAGCATACGTTAAGTGCAAAACACTGTGGACACTGGGGCCTTCTTGCTTGCCAGAAAGGTTGCACAGACAGAGTACTTCAAGCCTCTTCCGTGCTGGGGTGGGTGCGGTGCCCGGATATGTTGATGTATACTGGTGATCGCTAGATGTGCACGCCTGTGCATGCATAACACTGTGGTGACGCGCGCCGTGCATGTGGCCTTTAAGTTGTCAAATTGCTTGCGGGCACTCGTAGCCGTCATTGCATACGCTTGCCTGTTTCCTTCCTGGTACATATATTTATATATACACACTATCTATCTATCTATCTATTTATATGCGTGTTTATTTTTTGTTTAAAAGTTACGTATATGCCCTGGATTTGTCATGATTATTGCCGCTCGATTTCACCCTACAGGCAACATTCCGACATGGCTACAGACCGAGAGTTCGCTGCTGCGCGACTGGCTTGGCTTCCACCAGGTTGGGAAGGCGGACGTGCGCGCTTTCAGAGGTTACAACGTGACAGCGCTGCCTGCCGACGTGGCGGCAAAGGCTAACGCGTTGCGGCAGGACTTTGCCACAAAGAATCCTGCGCCACAGAAGTTGGCGCGGGCTCAGAAAGCGGAGCGGAACGTTTCTGTTGCTGGGAAGAAGGCACGCGAAATCACCCAGGCACTTGAGGATGCGATCAAGGCCAGTGATGAGGTCGTGCTCAAAAGCGTGATTTCTCAAGCCAAGGAGGCATTACCGGGCAAAAGCATGTTTGGTTTGTAGATGGACACATATGTCATGAGACGCATCCCGAGGCGGGCATCGAAAAAAGCATCATCGACGAAGCTGAGACCGTGCTGGAGTCATTGGCAGCTTCCAAGAAGCTGCAGGCAGCCATGCAAAGCAGAGACCCTACTGCACTGGTTCAGGCCATCATCCTGGCAAAGATGACCGGTGTCGATGAAGAGAAGGTTCAGCAGGCAGAAGACCTGATGAACGAGCTCGTCGTCCCGTCTGAAGAGCATGGTAGATCCTTCTATGCCCCAGCTCCGAAGACTGAGAAAGAGTCAGTGGCAGAGGAGGCTCCCACACAGAAGAAGAAGAAGAAAAGCTGGGCGGGACTCTTGAACACTGGACCGAAGTATGCAGGCCGAAATCGGGAGGACCGATCGGATTGCCTAGGCATGTCTGATCCGAGATTTCCATGGAATGTCATCTCGTTAGAGGGCGTTAGTTGAATAGTTGTGTTGGAGAAGTAAGCTTCTATAATCAACGCGTACCCCTGGAGAAGATACCAATCGTGATGAATCTGTCCCGGGGTCCTTGACGCAAGAAAACGACGACTTCCAGTGTCTGCCCACAGACCTCTGAAGCATCTGCCAGAGTCGAAAGCCGTCAATTGTTTCCCGTGCAGGGAATTTGGTGTGTGGGATCTTGCTTGTGGATGACCCACCTCAGAAGCAAACTAAGTGTTGTAAATTCGTTTTCGTGAAACAGTTTGCGGTTTCACTTTCGAGCTAAACCTCCATGCCTTCGATGTTCGGTCTCACAGGAGGACGATGCGCCGCCCCCTGAGCCGGAGCCCGTCAAGCCGGCACCTGAAGCCACCATGCCCGAAAGCACAGGAAAAGAAGGAAAGGCCAAGGGCAAAGGCAAAGGCAAAGATGGAAAGGACGGGAAGGGAAAGGATGGAAAGGACGATGGCAAGCCTTACTTGGTGGTGGACCCCGACGCCGGAGCTGGTGTTGAACTCACTGCGACATGTTGGGGGATGCACGTCGACGAAGTCGAGGACGAGCCCGGCCAACCGCATCTTCAGGCGGGTTGCACCATCACCGCCATCGACGGAACCAGCCTGCTGGGCTTGGAGGATGAGGATGCCGTGGTCGCCACCTTCGGTGAGAAGTTCAAGCATGGGGCGATCATCGAGGTTGACCCCGCAACCTTTGACACTTTGGAGCTGCCGCCAGATGCCACGCATTGGCCTGTGAGCTTCCAGGAGGATCTGGACATGCTCGCTTCGAAGTTCGCCTTGGATTGCAGCATCTCCAAGCTTGGCGCCCCGTCTGATCTCATCAAGAGGGAAAAAGTCAAAAAGGCAGTTTGGGCCGAGAAGTGTTTTTGTTTTCTTTTCTGCTTTTTGGGCCTCGGGCCTGGTTAAGTGAGGCTTGGAGCTGGCAGGGCCGTCGGTGGCCATGGAGCCTGCAAAGCTTGAGCTCCGGCAGCTCTTGGATTTTTACGTCCATGGCCAGTCAGCCGAGCAACAGAAGCAACGAAAGGTGGACCAGGAGGCTATCCAGATGGCTATTCGCAGCTCGGCAGAATGTGCCTCAGGTGCTGCTGTTCATTACACACCAATCGAGCAACTTTCCATGCACCTGCCAGCTGTAGATGCAGCAGTTTGCAACATTCGTCAGCTCTTAGGGATGCGTTCATCTCCTGTCTCGGCTTCAGGCCAGAACCAAGAGAGATTGCGCCGAGAAGCGGAGGAGTATGCTGCGTGGCAGGCGTATGTTCAACAAATGCAGGACACCTATACTGCATATGCGATTGCAGCTCATCAGGCCATGCAGCAACAGATGATGCAAGTTGCAATGCAACAGCAAGCTATGCAGCAACATGCTATGGCCATGCAGCATCAGCACCAGACAATGGCGATGCCACAGGCTGCGCCACAGCATGCAATGCAGCAGCAAGCATGGCAGCAGCCATGTGCTCCATACGCTCAGCAACCCCAGTCGATGTATGGTGCAAATGCTCAGGCAATGTTTCAGATGCCTGCAGAGTGGGTTCTATATTATAACCAGCAAGGCCAGCCATATTACTACAATGAAAGGACAGGTGAAAGCGCATGGTCTCTTGCACCAGGAACCAACTTCAGGCAGGGTGGCCAAGCCGCATGTGGCGGTTGTGGCTGTGGAGGGTGTGGCATGCCGTATGGTCAGCAACAGCCCATGTGGGGTCAGCCGGGGTACGGTCACCCCTGGGGCTAGAAACAGGAGCATAGACTTTACACCGCCACTCCCGGACGTCCTGCAGTCGCCTGTGCCATAGCAATTATTTTAAATCGACTCTCGACTGAGATGGGACTTGATTTCCTGGTAGGTGTTCTGTAACGCCGTTCCGAAGCTTCGTAGGGCTACAGAGCAAAAGTTCGGCTACTTTGCGGCGCTTGTCCTGTCCGAACAGTCTGAGTTCCTCGAGCTGTTAGGTCATTGCATGTCTACAGGTTGGAGTGATGCTTTTCGGCTGCACATGCCAGGTGGCCCGAAAGACACTGCACCACACATGGAGTGGATTTTCAAGAACCATGTGCATCACGACTAGAGCCGCAGTGCATCGCTTTTTCCTCGTACTGGCAACAGATTGCAAGCCCAAATTCGTTGCCCAATGTTGCATTCCTGATGTCTCTGCAGCTCGCAGCAGAAGCGCATGCACAAGGTTCACACCGAATCATGCAGACAGCCTCGCTCTTTAGCGTGCAGATCTTTTGAATGGCTTCAGTTGACGAATCTCGTTGTTTGCTGCATCTCTTGCCACCCATCAGGTGCACGACGCAAGACAGCCAGATGAAGTTCAATTATGAGGCAGACGGTGGTAGACCTCCTGAGCATTCGTCAATCGCGGAAACTTCGGGTAGAAGGGTCATCATTAAGATGGACGCTGGGCGCGAAAGACAAGCCTAGCTTGTCAACTGTCTTGAACGAGATTTGTCCGATCACAGTTGCAGGGTCGTGTCCGAAAGTGCTGTGACAGGCTCCACGGGACTTCGCTCCACAGACCCTCCGTGCGCTTGCGAAGGCGGCGACGCAGTTTGAGGAGCGGGCCAGAGAGGTGGGAGTGGGCTGTTAAGGGACGAAGTTCCTGCGCACAAGCATGGCCTTTGTCCTCACATCCGCTCGTCAGGGAAACACAATCGCCGACAGCGTCCGGGCTGCAGTGGTGTACGACACTCGCGAGGCTGGACCTCCAGTTTGCTGCAGGATTCATGCCTCAAGCTGCTTGGGCAGGCCAAGAGTGGTGGCGAGGGCTTTTCAATACGCATGTTGGCATCACTATGTTGCCAGAGGCGTGTGTGTGTGTGTGTTGGTTGATTGCAACACAATGACTGAGGATTTGCTTCAATGAATCCCATTCCCAAGCATTGCTCGTTCGGAAGGCTTCGAGTCGTGGTCGTCCTCGAGACGGTCTCAGTGTTAATGCAAGCCGTGGTGGTTTTTGCCCTGGGCGTTGTCGGTGCCTCTGGGTCACTACAATGCTGGTCTTTGGGTTCTCCGAGCAGCATTCTCGTTTCCTTTCAAGGTCTTGGAAGAGCTTGAGCTTGGGGGCACACTGCCATGGCTGGGTGAAGATTATGCCGTCGTGGCGGTCCCGGACCAAGCCTCCGGCCGACAGCGGCGAGCTCTTCGATGGACTGTGTCCTGTCACTGCCTTCCTTTCCGCTCGAATTACATGCGCGATTTCTGATGGTTGAGCCGTTCATCTTAAGCAAATCGGAAAGTTGCGAGGTCCCCTTCGCACTGTTCCTCATCGGTCGTTGTGTAGAGCAGCTTGCGCGGCACAGGCCAAGCCGCTAAGTGGTGAAAGCGGGGTCAACAACAGCCATGAGTCGGTCGTCCTGCAGGCGCCGGAGGCTCTCCGAGCAGGCGGAGAGACTTGGAGACGTGAGTGACTTGAGTCTTGACTTTTTGAAGGTCTCTTTGGGCTCGGCTTCGTGTGCGTTTCGCTTCGGAGGTGGCCTTGGCTCTCCGCTCTCGGCTCTTCCACCGGGCCCTGGTGTCCGGAGGGCCCCTGCCGGCTGCGGCAAGCCGAGTGGTCGCTGCACTCACCAAGCGCTGCAGGCTTTGAGAGAGGGTTCAGCCCGTCTAGTGATGGAAGAAAGCTCAGCTGTTTGCAACACAAGTCGAGTGTTCAGGCTTCGACTTGTGGCACCCGTCTTGGGCAGTGCCTTGTCCGTGGCCCTCCTCGTGGCTGCGACAAGCGTTGCTGCGACAGCTGGCGTAAGCTTGGTTGTACTGGCCACAGCAGTGGAGGCTGGACGGTTGCGGCATGTCATGGTTTGCAGCGAGGCTGCCAGGATACATTATCTGTTCAAGCACCATTCAACACCTGATCTGAGAGATGGCTTCGGGTTTGATGAGCCAATCGTGTAATCGTGCAAAATAGGCTGTTTGGTTCGTTCCGCTTTGTTCCTGTGCAAGGGGTGGGTCTGCTTGGCAGGTCATCTTGAAGCGCCGTGTGCCGAAGTGGGGTCAGGCGGTGGGAAAGCTTCGGTGTCGCAGAGAGGAGACGCCTAACCGCAGCGTTCCAACGGAGTGTTCGCTTCTGTGTCCCGGCTCTCGAGGAGCTGTCTTGCGCTTTCCTTTCTGACCTGAAGTGTGCTTCTGCCACTGCCGGCGCCTAAGTGCATCGAGGGACAGTTCAGAAAAGAGACGAGAGACTCGCGCCAGGTGAAGTGCTTCGGCTGGGAGGCTGCGGTCTTCCAGCGCCTCGGCCGGCTCCGCGTGGAGGAGCAGCGATTACAGGACCGGGCCTCCCGATCCAACACCACGCTGCCCGAAGCCCAACAAAAGAGGGCGGGGGGTTCTCACTCCGAAAGAAGAGGAAAACATGGTGGAGTTTTTTTTTGTCACCTGTCCATGTGCCCGAGGCTCGCGGTGCGCTCGGCCGCCAGCATCTGGGCCTGCCTGGCCTCCTTGGCCTTGCACTGGCTGGCGCGGGAGCCCGGCCGGCCGAGAGCCATCTCTATTCGCCAATCGCTCTGCCAGAGAAGAAGAGAGCCGAGGGGAGTGGCTTTTTTGAGCATACCTGGAATACATACATACATACATACATACATATATATATATATAGATAGATGTAGATATATAGATATAGATATATAGATTGTGTGTGTGTGTGCGCGCTCCTTTCTTCTATCTCTACGACTCTTCCTCAGCTTCTGAGGTCGTCAGACCGCCGGCGCTCTGGGAGTGTTTCCAAGCCTTAGCAGCTTGCAGGCGCAGCCCCATCTATCGAGCCAGTAGCGTTCGCATGTGGTCTGTCGGCAGGCTGCTGGCACAGCAGCTGCAGCAGGTGCTTGCCCGGTTATTCTAAAAGATTCTCAAAGCAACCACTTCTCGATGCAATTCTTAAATGCCTCTGCTGCACTCGTATTGTTCTTGTTGTCAGCAGGTCCTGCGCATCCTTCTGACTGCCAGACCGACAGCTGTCTGGAACCCAGCGCCAGTGGTGCCTGGGCCTGCGCTGGGCCCACTGCCAGCTCGGCTCTGAGGCGGCTGCTCTTGGCGGCTCTGTGAAGTCTCCACGGCCGGTGCCAAAGCAGGCCCTGCCGTGCCCTGCCATTCCCTGCCACGGTCACGAGTCCCTTTGCAGAGTGCAAGGGCACGCCGGCCTTGTACAAGACATCACGGTTTGCTGTGGCCAGATCCTAGGTCTTCGTGTTTGTGCTGAAAAGCTTCAAGTGAAAGGTGTTGTGCCGAGGCTGTTGAGGGCATGCGTTTCTTCTGGCCGAATCTCGAAGGACCCAAAGAGGCGCGCCACTGGCAAAGCCCAAACTGTGACATACGTGCTCCATGCAACGCCAGGCTTCGTCTCTTCCATCACCTCCGAAGCCTGCCGGTGGGCGCCCTAATGTTCCTCAGAATACGAAAGGACTCTGTCCTTAGCTGCAGCACTGCACCACATCTCTTTCGGAAGTCTACAGGGCTCACGGCCAGCGTGAAGGCCCAGAAGGTGAGGATGCTTGTCTCCTGGCCTGTGACCGCTGCGACCGGCCACTCTTCGCCGATAGGCTGGGAACGGCCTGAGCCTCGTGGATTCGGTAACGGACGATGCCTCGGTGGCTGAGAGAGCGAAGCGAAGTACGCCCGGCTGCCTGGTGTGTTTTCCGTTGATTGAAGAGGAGTTGCGGCTGCTAAGAACTGCAACTTTCGCAGAGGCATGGATCGGCTGGCTTTGATGTGAAGGCTCCAGGAAAAGTCAGTTGCGGAGTGAGATCGGGCCCAAGTCACTCCTCCAGGTGCTGTCGCTGCAAGTCAAGCGAGGCAGGATCGAATTCTTGCGGAACTTGTGAGACTTGTGGCCACAGGTTCTCACATCGCATTAGTGGGAGCTGCAGGCTCTGGCAAGCCGCTGTCTCAGTTTTTACCCAACCTCGGCATGAGGTGCCAAAAGCGGGGATGTCCTGTGAAGCCCAGGTCAACTCTTTTGGCGGGCCTGGTAGGAGGCGCTCATGGAATATCAGCGCGTGTCCGCGTGTGCGGAGCTTCCTGGCAGGCTGCCAAGCCGAGCTTTGGGGAGAAGACTTGGAAGAGACGGGCATCCTCCTGTCTGGCAGGTACCGAGCTGTGCCCATCCTACAGGAAGCGCTTCTTCAGACGCTCCTGTCCGCAAGGTGCGCCTACGCTCCGCAACAGCCGGCGGTCTTGAGTGGAAGCAGCATCCGCGACAATGTCGTTTTCGGTTCTACTTGGGATGCGCACAGGCCGCAGTTCTGAGCGCTCAGGGCTCGAACTGCGAGTTTCGCTCCACTTCGCTCCGTTCCGGGCAGGTATGAGCAAGTCCTGGCGATGTCCACCTTGTCAGAGGAGACGCAGTCGCAGTTGTTACTGTTTTGCAGATCTCAAACAGCTGGGCCTGTCCCTCTTTGCGCGAGCACGAAGACACACCAGTTGTTATTGACTCTTGACTCTAAAGTTGCAGCCCTGCCGTGCGTAGTCTTTTCAAAAGAAAAGCTATGGGAAAGCGAAACTAAAGCTAGCTGAGGGGTCATTGTGGAAAGCGATCGAAGCCAGAACAAAGCTCAACAAGAGCTACTCCAACCCCAACAGCTACCAAAAAGCCAACAGAATCGATCCCACAACCGTTGCGCAGGTCATTCAAAGAGTTTGGTTGCTTCATATGTGTGCGTCCACAGGTCCCCATGTCGCTTGCAGGGCATTGCAGGACTTGCGGCAAAAGTAGCTGTACCCGGGGTGGGGGTTGGGGTGGGGTGGGGTGGACTGGAGTATTTCGCAAAATTCCACACTTTGGCGCTTCCGCTCAGGGCATTCCACTCAGCTTTCACTGCACCAGGCTAATGCCAACTTGGCCTGCAGCTTTCCGGTACCACTGCCGGGGAGTGTGCGTGTTGGAGATGTAGCTTGTCCCTAGGGAAAAAGCCACAACAAATTTCTGAACAGTTACCAGAAGCTTACCAAAAGCTAAAAACAAGCTAAGAACCAGCCAGAAGACAGCTACAAGAAAGCTCCAGCCAGAAGGTATCGCAAAAACCGGGGGTAACCCGTTTTTTAACCCCTAAACCCATTTTTTTGACCCCCGGCCCGTTTTTTTAACCCCTGAACCCGCTTTTTTAACCCCTGAGCCTGTTTTGTTAACCCCTCAAACCTGTTTTTTTGACCCCTTGTTTGTCCACCTACTCCCTGCGGCACACGGCATGGGAGTGAAGTCACCCCAGGCAGGGCGATGTCGGCCCAGCAACAGTTAGCCCTTGGCCATTCCGCAAAGTGTTCGTGGCTTGCACCCAGAACGCCGCGTGCGTTGAGCGCGGGGCGGGTTGACAAGCCTCATTACTGCAAGAATACACATGAACAGATGCTGCAATCCCAGTGTCAATAGAAACCAGCCACTCCCGATGTAGACACTCGATTTCGCGAGCACCCGCTCAACAAACACATCAACGGCAGCAAGTCAAAACCAGCTAATCCCCATGTGGACGCTCGGATTTGCAAGCAGCCGCTGAAGGAACACATCTAGTGGCATCGCAGCAAACGACAAACCAAAACCAGCCAGTCCCCCCGTAGACGCTCGATTACGAAAGCACCAACTCGAGACACAAGTGGCATCACAACATATCCAAGCTCACGGAAAGACCGCGCACAGTATTGGGCGGAGGGATTTATTTCCTAAGTCTGGCCCGCCCCGGCTTGCTTTCCTAAGTCCGGCTCGCTCGTTTGGGCTGCAAACACAGCAAACTGTTTTGCAAGCTATTGGGGAATTACCATTTGCAGGGTCTTGTATTGCTTGTGTTTTGCATC